AAAAAAAAAAAAAAAAAATTCCGTACGGAATCGCCGATTCACTGTTCGGACTCGCCGATTCCGTACAGTGAATCGGCGATTCACTGTACAGAATCGTCCGGTTCTCTCTAGAACCGGACGATTTCCGATTTTTGGGCGATCCGGTTCCTTTTTTACTATTTCCGAGTCGAACCGGGCGAGTCCGGTTCGACTCGGCGTTTTTTAAAACGCTGGTTTCATCTAAAAACCATAAAAACTAACGGTATAAATATTATTTTTATTTTTTAAAAATTATTTATTTATTCAAATTCATAATCTCTTTGTTAGATATTACATATCTTTAAAAATTAAGTCCTAAATCCATATAAAAAATAGATTTATTAATAGGCCCGCATTTCTAAGCCTTGGCCGCATAGAAACCTGGTCCTTACTTGTGAAAACTGGAAAGAGAGTGTGCCATGATATTTTCGTGCCCATTAAATTATCAACCACTTATTAGCCACATATTTCAGAGTTGAAAAGGAGGCCACATGTTATAGAATACCGACGTTACACACTAATGTTTACACTCATATTTGGTACAAATCATAATACGTTGTGGCCATTAGATACAAAATCAAGCAACTGAGAAATTGCTTTCTACCATAATCAAAACTCAAAAACTAATTATTGAACTTTGAAGGGAAACAGACAAAGCAACGTGTACTACAAGCAAGTTTTGGAATTTTCAAAAGAATTGGTGATCTTGTCCATTACTCCCTCCAATATTACCAAATCTTGGCATATTTTAGGGCACGCTCGTTTTGAGTTTGATAATATTTTCACCGCCATTGGTCTCAATGCATCTTTTCACACCAATTGGCAGCTAATTGGTGTGAAAATATTCTCACACCTAAACACATAAAATAATTTTTCTCACCTGAAAAAATTTCCCTGGAAAATATTTTCACGCGAACCAAATGTGCTCATAGTACCCCTCAATATATTGACTAACCTCAAAAAATAATTATCCAAATTCCACACTTTATTTGTCTGAGAAAAATAGCATCTCATGATTGAACAAAGTGGGTCCAATTTTTGGTGCATTAGATTTAAGTGTTGAAGATCTTAGAATCTAATAGTTGTTTAAAAGGAAATTACCAAAAAAATCCTTATATTTTACAAGCATTCAAAAAATACCATTTTTTTTAAAAAATACATCTATAATACCCAATAGCATTTGGGTGCGGTTTGTATAAAGCCGAGGATCTAAATAATCAAAGTCGAGACCACCAGCAGCATTTGGGTGTGGTTTGTATAAAGCCGAGGATCTAAATAATCAAAGTAGAGACCACCTTCAAATAGTGTCGTGAAATGTGGTTTCAATAATGAAAATCTTTGTGGTAGCCTTAAAATATATTTTCATCTCTAATTATAAAACTGAAAGCTTCAAAAATAGTTTAGATAGAATAGATCTATGAAAACTTGAAAATTGATGGTCCAAAAATGTATAATAAGATGCACTATTTCCAAAATTTGAAATCCATTTTTTTCTCATGTCCCTGTATCTTGAGGTCGAGATTATAAATTTAAAGATATTTGACAATCAAAATAACATCTTCTAGTGAAATTTTTGAGATGCGCCTTAATTTGATTGTTTAGAGCCTCATACTGATATAAACTTTTTCCTTTTTTAAACCTAAATGTCCTTCAAAGTCTTAATAGGGCCCTAATGAGTCCCTTTGAGTGCGTCTCTCGTGCATCATAACCCTATCAAGCCATGATATACCATGCCCAAAGCACCCTCTTGGATGTACCCTTGGGTGAGTCCAAAGCATCCAAGGGACCTAATGTGGCTAAGGCCAGCATCACATGAGGTAACAGGGGCATACCAAAAATTTGTTGGGCACGGATGTAATTTTATAAAAATTTGATGTTTCCGTATTTTAAAAAATAGGCAAAAGTTTATATAGAGGCTCTAAACAATCAAATTAGAGCCTGCCTTGTAAATTTCAGTAGAAGAGGTTATTTTGATGCCTAAATGTCCCCAAATTGATCATCTCGACATTAAGATGCATGGACATGAGAAAAAAATGGATTTCAAGTTTCTAAAATAGTGCATATTGTAATGCATTTTTGGACCATCAATTTTCAAGATTTTCAAATTTTCATAGATCTACTTGATCTACACTATTTTTGAAACTTTAAATTTTATAATTAAAGATGAAAATATATTTTAAAGCTATCACCAATATTTCCAATATTGAAACCACATTTCGAGATACTATTTGAAGGTGGGCTCTAATTTGATTGGTTAGAGCCTCGGCTGTATACAAACTGCATCATAAAAAAATATAAGAATATTTTTTATAATTTCTCTCCTTTAAAAAAAAATCATGTGGTGATCAGTAAAGGAGCCCAGAAGTCAAATCCAAGTACTGTAGGTATAAAGCATTCATGCTCCCGCAAGAGCATAGTATACACAATAGAATATTCCGCACCACCGGACTCGGATATTTCGTATGATAGCTATAAAAGCGAACACGTACAATAATAGACAGAGAACCAGACATCGCTACAAAAGACCGGAGGGTACCCACTTTCCCGTTGGCCCGGACCTTTTGTACGCGGGTGCTGTGGCTATGACGTAGCAGCACGCCTTACATAGGGTGTTGCTTTTGTGTCTCATGCATGCACCAATGCACATCATACAAACTATTAAAACGGAGAAATTATTTCTATACTTTATATTTTTAGGATTCATTTCACAATATGTCTAAAGTTTTAAAAGATATTTTAAGGCATAAAATTATAGATTTTATTTCTTCTAACCCCTTCAATTAATTTAAACTTTTTCTTCTAGAGAGAGAGAGGCTTCATGGAGATGAGATGTTATCGGGAAAAAAGAGAAAAAGGTGTTTAAAAAAACACAGGAGGAGAGAGAAAGATGCAAGAAGAGAGTGAGAGAGAGAAGTTCGAGGTCTATAAATGAAGAGAAAGAAATGCTTGAGTTTAAAAATAGCATATCTTTCTCACATCTGTTTAGGTTAAAAAATAGGTTTAAAGTGGCCGGAAAGTTAGAAGATATCTTAACATTGGGTTTATCAAGAAATGAAATCTAAAAATAGAGAATATACATATATTTTCCCATTAAAATATTGACCAAACTCAATTGGAATCCTATGAGTTGGTGATTCAAAATCATTCGAGTCATCTTAGGTGGGTCGCCATATTAAGTCGTCTAGAGTCGAACCTACACACACTACCATTAAAATCTCTAGGCTACCTAGAGACTTTAATGGTAGTGTGTGTAGAGTTC